CTGCATTAGGTTTAGGAGGGCACAAGCAATCATCTCATGTGTCTCACCTAGTAAGAGAGAGCTTCTGTAGTGTCTGTATTTTCCTCACCACTTCTAATTGACTATTTGCAATCAGGAGAGGTCGCACAATTTGCCACTGATTTCCATTTCCAGCATACAGAAGGGTTACATACAAGTAACTAATTAGCTTTGCTGGTATAGTCCCGACTCACCTAAATAAGAAATAGGGCTAAGTTTAGTCTGTTTATTTGTATGAATTTTCTAAAAATTCTATTTTTGAATAACCAGGTATAGTTCCTAATTGAAGTGTTATTTATGCTAGATCCAACACTTTCTCAATGCACGGATTTTCTTCCCACGCTCCAGAGCATTACACAAGTGCTTCTAAATCACTGACATCAGTTACTCAAATCTAACACATCCCAGTCAGGCTTCTCAATTAATACATCAAAGCACTACAACCAACACACGCAGGGCTTGCCATACTGCAGAGGATTCCAGGGGAAACTCCCCTGCTGGTATATATGTTGTCTGTACAGACTAAGGCTCACACTGGTCTATAAATTGCAACATTCAATGCCTTTCTTATACAATTTGATCACACACTCGTTTTGTTCTTATTTCAAAAGCTGATCGCAGCCTTGCTCGATTTTGAAACTGCCACAGCATCTCTAAGGTCTTCACCAGAAGTTACGGCAGGGGTTGTGTGCTCTACCAGCTGTAGGTACATAAGCTCAGATTTCCATAAACATTGTGACAGAAATAGCAAGGTAATCTGCAGGTGCTCTCAGTGAGCTCACAATCAATATACACAGGTTACTATATAATGGTTGGTGCAACCTGATGGCTAGCATGCATTCTTATGCAGCTAAACAGCCTTCCCACAGTTTGCTTCTGTTGTTTTTGTGTTTTTTTTTTTTAAAGTATCTTCGTGCAACAAATGTATGTCATTCGCCTATCTTAATTTAGTCAATCACTTCTTTAGTTTAAAATTAAGTCTCATATCTAAGAAAATACCATTCTGGATTTTTTCTAAGACTAGGTATCTGGAGTAAAAAGACTGCCTTTCCATTTTATTTTTAGGAGAAACAGTATAACTACATTACAGCTAATACGAGCTCCAACAGGAAGATAAATATAACAACATCCTCCGGACCTCTGGCTGAAGGCTTGACCAATATTGTTTCATAACTGGTATTTGCTGCCAGAGTGAATTTTACTGGCTCCATAACCAGAGTAAGGAAACTGATTAGTTTCACAAAACCTTCTCATTAAACATTTACTTTTCAGCTTAGAGAAAACAATGCAGTGCACACAAAGTAGAGGGCTTTTGAAACTTCCTCAGTGTCTCCTGGAAATGTGGGTTCATTTGCAAGGAGCTGTGGAAAGTACTCCACTGATCCTCTAGTAGATAGACACTTTTCTTAGTGCTCAGCAACATTTTTTTTTTTAAATCATACATGTGGTTGTGTTATCAACCACAAGCTCTAACAGAGGTACATTTACTGTAACCTAACAGAATAGTAGACAAACATTCTCAAGAATCTGCTTTTATTTTAACACTCATTTTAGACATTAAAGGATAAACTTCATATTAAAAAACAACCACCTCTACCCCCTATTCACATTATCACAGCTTCTAGTGAGATGCATCTACCTGAAGAGTTTAGCCTCCTGCGTTGCAACTGTAAATCTGTATTTGAGCCTATAGTAAAAAAGTATGCCTTTTTTCTTACAATTTTCTTTTCTACTGTCTTGTGTTGCTTTGTTGCTTTTTTTTTTTTTTTGCCTGCTTGTTGTTTCACTTGTTTGCTTTCTTAAAAACAGACAAAACAAGGTTACTTTTCAGTCTGTGAAGTGATAAATTTTCACAGCTGTTGACAAGTGCTGCTGTTGTATATTTGCCCTACCTTCTTCGAAGAAAGCCCCATATACTCTCACACATAGATTTCCTTAAAGATATCTTAATGGATTTCATTTCTTGTCAGACAAAAGGAGACTTCATAGTTTATCCTGAATGAAGCACGCAGCCAAACATAGCCTAAATCAGTACGAGAGAACTACTGTAGCAATCACCAAAATCATCAGCAGAAGCAGACTGATCTTACGTGATCACTTACGTGAGACCCAGAAGTGCAACTTCAGTTTTTCTTTGAAAATGATTGATGCTGAGCAGGATCACACCCAGCACCTGAAAGTTTTCTCAACATTCTATACCCGTATGTATGTTGTCCTGCTCTATCTTCCATATCCTAATCTAGCACAGCCCCACCATTTCCCCTCCTCCTCCATAACATCACTCCACATTATACTTCCCCTCCTCTGTCGAGTAAGGCTTACTTTTTAAGCATCCCTTCATTTTCCCCCCGCCTTCCTCTTGAGAAAACTCAGCTCAGCAGCATACAGACTTTTACAAGTAACCTCTGAAAAGCTGCTGAGCACTGTTTCTGAGTAGCAACCAATTTAGAATAAATTGATAGATAGTATCTACAGAAGACATTATAATTTATAATTTTGTTGTTGGTATAGAGAGCCCGAAAGGTATTCCAGATGCTACTTCACTAAAACAAACCTCAGCACAGGAGAGAAGTTTAACTTGTTAGCTTTTTCAAATTAGAGGAAAATAATTCACCTGTGGGAAAGAAACCAAGCTTTTCCAATTTGATTACTATATAGTACCAGCATCAACAGATCAATAGGTTCCAGCTTTGCAGTGGAGTACTTCAGAACATACATCGATCAGACTCTCAAAAATAACGTAGGATCTGTAGTAGAAAAATATTTCCATCTATAGCGAGCAGAGAAATAATTAATACTTCTACATGCTGCTATAGCATAACAATTTAAGTACATTAATCATAACTGTCTCAGTGCTATCTTGACTTTTTTTTTTTTTTTTTTGTTATCGTTCCTTGAACTTATCTTCTGATACTATCTTATGGAGAACTGTGCTAGATCTTAGAATTGCATTTTATTATATACATCAACTGTGCTCCCTCACCTGTGCAGGCTGAACGCAACTACAATGCTAAGTCATAGCCTGAACAAGTGATTGAGTACCTGGTGGGAAGGCAGGGTCAACCAAGGGGAGCTCAGGTGCAAGCAATACAGTTGAGTGCCAAGGAATGGGTGGAGATAGACCTCATAATGCGTTGGCAGTGGAGGGGAAGGAATTCTGCTAGAGATCCCTGCGTAACTGAGGCTTTTCAAAAGTAAACAGCATCTTCTGTTTACTTCTGTGCTTGTAGCTGTTGCTTTTGAGTAAATTTTCACTTACTATAGCCTAGGATCTTGCTGCTCTGCTGTCATTACTGTGTTTTCCATTGTGTCACATACAGAGCTGGTAAACTCTATTGTCCTAATAGAAAAAGAATGCTGAAATTTGGAGACAGAACTGGGTGTAGAATAGTGAAGGTTTCTCATAAAACTAAAATTCCATTTTTCAGGCAGTTCTACAGAGGCCACAAAAACACATCTCCCTTCAGAAGTAAGATTATTCCAGATACCATGTTAGTGGTTTTTTTTCTAGTCTGAATAGATTTTCATAACCTGTTTTTGACTGTTTCCTGATGCTGCAAATGTGATTATTTGATTTCTTTCAACTGGGATATAAAGATACATTCATGTTATATAGACCTAATAAAGGAGAAAAAAACAAAAACATTAATATGAAAGATTACCTGAGAAAAGATATCTGATCTGAAGGGAAATTTCTTTATGACACAAAACTTAAGCATCTCCAAACACATCCCTCACTAAAATAGAATTTGGGTCTGGAGTACACTGAAACTGTTTTATTCCTTTTCGCCATAGCACTTAGCTCAAGAAATGCTGCATCAAACCTAACCAAAACACAAAATTACCAAGCAGTAATTATACTGAGCCACATCAGGTTTCGATCTCTCTTCCATTAAGTAGAAAACCCCAAAGTTCTGTATTTAGTTCAAATATTTACCTGAAGTTCACGTGCTCTATCTTCATCAAATGTTTATTAGTTTCTGATACACAGATGAGAGTTCTCTGAAGGTATTTCAGAAAGAAGGTTCCTGAACCACCAGCCTGGGTAGTCCTAGCAAAGGCCTGACTAGGCTATTAGCTAAACCGTTCTTTATGCTTCTGTTTTGTTTTTAAATATTATCTTCTATAAATATATGAATTACTAACAAGCGCTTTCCTTTAAGACTAGTGTGTGTGGCCAGGGAAAAACTCATAGTAAAACCTAGAGAAAAGCTGTTTCTGCTAACGAGGGCCCCCAGCCCCACACAGCCACCCCTTGTCTGAGCCATCAGCAGCACCTGGTGTTGGTGGAAGCTTCTGGAGGCTGTGCTGGTGGGGATGATGCTGGGGGGAGAGGAGCACGAGGAAGGTGCATCATGGCTGCTGATCCAACAGGTAGGCCACGTTCTGCTGGTTTTAATGCCTCGTGTATGTTATGTGTTATGTGTGTGTTTGCACAGTAGGGAAGTGAGGGTTATGTGTTTTGCAGTGAGTGAGGGAAACAGTTGTGGCACAGTTACACTGTGGTTGCTGTGAGGGGTCTGTGAGAGAAACAGAGGTGTTTGTGAGGAGAAACATTTAGCTTTCTGTGCATGAGGACAGGATTGCTGTTTGTCATTCCCTTAGCAGGGAGGCAGCCTCCTTTCTCCTCTGCAGTGCCATCCTGGTGGTTTGGGTGCCATGCGAGTAGGGCTAATAAGGCAGGAGGCCATTAGCTGGGTTGTCTGCACGTGGTGAGGGCTGAGCATAACTATGGCTGTCCTTTGCACTTCACCTCCTGGAGATGGGAAATACACCATATTGGGATGCGTTGTGCTTGTGAGTTGTTTCTGTAAATATCACTCAGGAATCAAAGGTGTTGCGGTATTTTTTTTAATTCTTTTTAATTTAGGGTTTGTTTGTTTGTTTCATTTACTCGCGTCATTTTTCCTTTTTGACGCTGTAATTTGCCTCCCGCCCAACCGAGGTTCCTCTTTAACGCGGAATCAATCTGCAGCGGATTGATGTCCAGCTCAGCCAATAGAATTACAAATCTCCGCCCCTGCTGGCTCGGATTGGTTCTCGTTCCGGGCGCGAGGCGGGAGTTGCGCTCAAATCCGCGGCGCCATGGAGGCTGTGCTGGGGCAGGTGGCGGAGTTGCCTGCGTTGTTTGCTGTGTCCCGTTCCGTCCAGGTGCGGGACTGGGACCCCCCGACCCTGGACAGGGCTCTGGATTGGGCACGCTACTTCCAGCACCTCCACGACCGCTTCCGTGGCCGACCCCGTCTCCGGGACGCTGTGGGGCGGCGGTTGCGGCGGGGCCAGACGGGCAGCCCGCTCTCCTTCTGCCATCTGGGCGCCTGCTCGGAGCTACTGGGCTTGGCGCTGCTAGAGAACCGCGCTCTGCCGCCCACCGCCTGCCGCCGCCTCCTGCAGCGCCTCCTGCAGGGGGAAGCTGGCCCCGAACCGGGCCGCCTGGTTCTGCTGGCCCGCAGGAAGGCCGCTTCCCGCCTTCTGGAGAGCTGCGCGCTGTCCTCGAGCGAGCCGGGCCCGCGGGTGTGTGTGGAAGCGGGGCTGCTGCTGTGCCGGCTGAGGGAGGACGGGCGGGAAGCTGGGGCGGCCCTGGGCTGGCTTGGACCTGTCTTGGAGCAGCTCCCCCGGCCTCGCGCTTTCGCTGTGGTGGCGGAGGCGCTGTTGCTGCTGCAGGGGGACGGGGACAGCACGGCGAGTGGAGCAGAAGCTGGAAGCGTTGCGGATCCCCTGCTTTCCTGGCTACTGGAGGATCCGCACCGGTTTTCTGCCTGCTGTCTGCTCCTCTCGGGCGCTCTGCTCGCCTCGCTAGCCGATCGCTATGCCCGGTTAAGCAGGCGTTATTTGGATCTTTTAGCTGAGTGGGGAAGTCAGTTGCTGTATGACTCGCTGCAGGGACGGTGGGTTAGAAGTGGTCCTGAGGAGGCTAAATTGTGCTGGGAGGAGCTGAGGGAGCGTTTTGTCTGCCTCCGTCAGGGATCTGTGCAACTCAGGGAGCAAACCCAAGCAGCTCTGAAGCTCCTGAAGGCCCGAGACGGAGACTTTCAAGTCCGTGGCCTAAGTGTGTGGACTGACCTGCTGCTGGAAGTGGAGAAAGACTTGAGGAAGAAGCAGAGCCCAAACGTGTGAACACCAGAGCAACACAAAACTTTATGAAATCTAGCAAATCTGACTGATGCTTATTTGAAGGGAGAGAACTATGTCCTGCTTTGAGTTGAAAACCCAAGCTCTGATAGGACTGCTGATCACACTGTTTCTGACTGCACATGAACTTTCAGGAAGGCCTGTTACTTCTTTGCATCTGTACTGCTGATTCTCTTGGTGACAGGCAATAAATATCTTCCTTTACAGTGCTTACTGCTCAGCTAATAAAACAAAGAACCTGGTTTTTTTGAATATGTTTTTTAAAAATAAGCTTTCATTTTTTATTGGCTACAAATAACAGATGAGATATGTTATGGTCATGGTAGTTCTGTTTTGTTTTTGTTTTTTGTTTTTTATTGTTCAAAGGGAATGATGGGGATTCAAACCTGAAAATCCCAAATGCAGGGTTGATTTAGTAGTGATTACCTTCATTAGGCTGTCTGTTCTGTTGGCATTTTCTGATCTTCAGAAAAGATCTGTGAGTTGTCTGTGAATTAGCCTCTAGGCCTAAAGTGAAGGAGGGGAAAAGAAAAAAAACTTGAAAGCTTACTGAAAAGTTCTAAAACTTGAAGGCTTTATTAGTTACCTTGTTATATACTGGTATGTAAATATTAAATATATTGAATGTTTATTAAAACAGCAGTAAGATGTGGCATATTCTGCTGTGTTTTTCTTCCCTTTCCCATGATCTGTTACATTAAATATATTCATTTTGTGAAACGAAAGTGAGTGGTATAGCAAACTTTTTAAATGGAGTCCAATGGAGTTATCTTTTGTTGAATCTGTTTCTGTTGACAAAACTCAAATGGGTAAAAAAGTACTGGGCCACCATGACTTAAAACAAGTGCTGTACCTCAGAATTAATGAGATCTTGTCTACTTAGCTCTGTAAGCTAGAATTACCAGCGTAAGCAGAGTAATAAGATGCAATACTCAGTGAAGGTGGGAAATGCAAATAGCGTAGAAGGTTCATCTTTAACCTCATGTGTGGAGGATCTGTCAAGGAGTGTAGTGTGTATTTAGATAGGATTGAGATAAGTTGAGAAAAGTGTTCTTGTGTTACTGAAATGCCTTTTAGGGAAGGATTAGAAGGTGGTTTTATTCTGATTGTAAGCTTAACTACATGTATTTATTATATATACATGTATTATATATACATGTATATAATTATACATATATGTATACATGTATAATTATATATATTAACTGATTGGCACTAATTTGAGTAACATTCTGTGCTACAAAGTGAAAGTGTACAAGGGTGGCAAAATTCAAGGAGGAGTGATCTGGTGACTTTGAAATAGAAACAAAGAATACAAGGAGATCAACTGTTGTTGACTTGGAAGATGAAATAGTGCCTATTCTGATTTGTATGGACATAAAGATATGGGCTATAAGTTCTTATACCTCTCTCTATGAAGCAAAATTGTTACTCAAGGGTAATGCCCTTAGTTAGAAGGATGCATTGCTCTTCTATTGAAAGTATAACTGTTTCCTTTGGATTCAGACAGCATGTCAGAGGCAATGAAGTTGCGGAGATTTGCAAATAAACTTGTTCTAACAGTTGCAGCTGTGGCAGTCATGGTTTTGCTGTCTTAAATGGGGTTGTTCTGGCACTTGTGATTGGTGGTCAGTCTCAAAAGAGAGTACAGTGTTAGGGGACCTCAGGGCTGAGTCAGTATTTCTGTGGTAATGAAAGGAATATGAACTACAAGCATTTAAAACTGCTCAGAGTATAAAGTATGAAGTTTGAACTTGTTGTCTAGCCATAGGTCCCTGTGTTATGCAGTTTTGGCATTTCGTATGGAAACTCTGCACTTGAGCGTTACTCCTAATGCTTTTAACAGGCATAGAGCTTTCTGTCTGTTAAAATACTTCTTGCTATCAGATGTTCCTAGTGAATGATATACCCAAAGATACTAGTCAGTCATTCCCTTCTGTCCTGATATATGTCAAGTATGAAAAGAAAATGTGGAAATGTTACAAGTGTTATAGTAACAAAACAAATTTTACCAGTTTTCCTTCTTCGTAGAGATTAATAGGAAAAGTTGGGTAAGGAACTTCCCTTTCTTACTGAATCACAGAATGGCCAGGGTTGGAAGGGACCTCAAGGATCATGAATCTCCAACCCCCCTGCCACATGCAGGGCCACCAACCTCCCCATTTAATACCAGCCTAGGGCACCATCCAACCTGGCCTTGAACACCTCCAGGGATGGGGAATCCACAACCTCTGTGGGCAGCTGTTCCAGCACCTCACCACTCTCTCTGTAAAGAATTTCTTTCAGAATTACTGCAAAAAAATTGCTCTTTAACTACTTGTTCCTGGGTACCTGGGTCTCTATGACTGAGGAGCATCTTGGTTTTGCTGGTCAAGATCTATTTCTTAGCATCCTCAAGATGTCGGCCAGAAGATGAGACTTTTAGTGACTTTTAGCTAATTCAAGGCTAATTCAATTGCTGATAGGGAGTTCTTGCTCTGTTTCAACTCTTGCTCTTTGTAAAACTTTTCTCTTATAAAATGCAGTTTGTAAAGGCAGGTGTCTTCCTTCAGAATAATTTAGCATTGCAGCAGCTCTTATAGCTAAAATAGTGGTAACAGATACTTTGGTGAGAAAATCATTTACAAAATAATTCTGGAGGGGGAGGCAAGAGATTTAACTGAACAGCGGGCAGCATCGCTTTGGTTTGTGCCTTTATTGACTATTCTAGTCCGTAGTTGATTTTAAGTTCTGTCCTTACAGGAAACTTGAATAGTAGAAGGTAGTCGACCTTCAGTGAGGCTGAAGCACCTGGATATAGCAATTTCACAGCAATGTTCCAATCTGTCCCAGATACGCTATAAAGAGGTGCCAGATCCACAATTACTGAGTTTCAAAGTCCATATGGCACTTATTGAAATCAATGCATCAGTTCACATCCCCTATTATTTCAGCATGCTTGTTGAGTTTGCCAGCTAACTATGCAACAAAAGACACACAATTAAATTTCTGGGGGAGCTCCTTTTTTAATAACAGCTTAAACAGGAAAGGAGAAAGAGTGATGTTTGTGATCTCCTCCTCTGTGTTTGCATCTCATACTTGTAGGCTGAGGCTTGCAGCCAAAAATCTGCAAAATTTTGACCTAAACAATCCGAGCTGTTATGGGAAGTAAGATATTACAAATGACAGCAGTCTCTTCCTTGCCCACCTCCTTTCCTCTTTTTACTGATAAAGAGAAACAGGCCTGAACTATTGTCTATATTAAAGTGGCAGAAGAAACTTGCAATAACAAGATAAATCAAAATCAGATTGCAAACTTTTTATTTCTGTCAAATGGAAAATTTAAAGCTATACTTTATTTTTCATTAAGAGTTTGAATGACCCATCACATAGTGCAAGTGTGTATGCAGAACAGAGTGAAGAGGCACTGTGAGCATGGGAATCATGATGTTGAGGTTCTTATATATTTTAGGCAGAGCAATGGGGAAAAATGTAAAATGCAAGTGAAGATGCTGAGAGAAGGAAGAGAACTTTTCCCTTGTGAAGATCCTGGAGAAATGGTAAATTTGCCCTTCACCAAAATGAAGTGGCTTTACTACCTCTGGGGATAGTAGTTTGTGAATATCATGATTCAAATAAAATAGAAATCACTTGATTCAGTGTTGGCTGCTCTGGTAAAGCACTCAGCTTCTGCCTTCCCTGATGACCGCTGTGGGTCAGTGGTTTAACAGGAAGGAGTATTACAGTAGTGAATGGGGGGGAGGGGGGAAGAGTATGTGCAGTAAGAAGCAGTATTTAAATGAGGTTTGCTCTCACAGAGATGAGTGCAAAAAAACAATATCCTATCTTCCTTGGGATAAAATAGACTCGAATCATCAGAGGTATGGGCAGGAATAACAGGTTTTTATCAGTTAGTTAATAAAAATGTTTGCTCTTGATATTGTATCCTTCTCAAGAGAAATTAAATGGTATTTTGACAAAATACATCATTTTCTATTAGTCTGTGCCTGTGCTGAGTTTAAAATTATGATTTGGTTGACAACTTGAAGAAAATTACGTCTTTGTTCTCCCTTACCTATACATCTTAATACATCTTACTGAAAACCTTTCTGTAGCAACAAGCTAGAGCAGAAGTAAACATATCTGAGGTGTGTTTTCTTCTATTGCTGTTGAGTGCACCGGAAACATTTTAAGCTAGTAAATATATGTATTATAGTACTGTTGTCATTCATGTACTTGCACAATTTCAACTCCTTGTGTGCCATTGCCTTAAGAGTTACTGAGATTATTTTCCAGGTTTGCTCGTATCCCCATGGCTTTTAGTTGCCAGCTCTCTTCTTTCTCAGCTAGGCATCTTTTTCCGTGCATCCTTTGAGTGACTGGCATTTGGTGTATGGAATCCTCTCAGCTACCACAGAGGGGGGTAGCAGAGTCTCTCTGTACAGATGGGCTGGGATTCCTGATCCCAAAGGATAAGCTAAGTTTGCGGGTCACTTATAAAGGCAGCAGATAAGCAGGGAGAAAATCCCCACTCCTACAGTGCCCAGCAGGAGTTTGCAGTTGAAAAACCCTCTGCAAGTCTATTTTGTCTTTGCAATTGTTATTTTACCAGCTTTAATTTAATGTAGGATTAGGTAATAATATGAATTATATCCCACGGCTGTCTCTATTCACAGACCTGTTTTATTAATAATATTAGGTATTCAGCTCTTAAATTCCTTTACTCTTACATGATAAATTCCTTTAACATCATGTGATCAATTTACTGTAACCCTTAACTAGGATATTTTACCAGAAGTGATAGGAGCGTGCGCTGAACAGAGAAGCATAGCAATCAAATTCTGAATTTAGTCTTGAATTGTACCTTCCTATTATATTTCTCTCCTGGGAAGCAAATCCAGGCTGAATACTCAGACATATGCTATACATAGTGTATGGCTTGCAAAGAGGCTAATCCCAGCATCTGATAAAGTGTTATTTCAGGTTTTTGGCAGTTGATGTGAGTCAAAGGTTCTATTTGAATGCTTTTCTAAGGCTGATTTTCCAAGAATGAGATGGTATGAACTGCTTTTACCTGCACATTTGTGTCACCATTCTTCTGGTGTGCTGGGCTTCAATGACTGTCTGAACAGGAAGGTGTGATGATGGTCTTGAGCTCCTGTACACGGTACTTCTCTCAGCTTATAGTTAACAGTGGAAGAATATGGCTGCTTTATATTGCATATGGTCAAAATGGCATCCATGGAAATGAGTCTGTAAGCCAAGACTATTTGCTGTGTGACCCCATTATCAGTAAGACACACAGGGAAATGCTTGATTTTTTATTTTTTTTTTAAATTTATTTTTTAAATGCAGAATAATTGGGAATATTCCATGGTTTTATTCTTTTATCACAGAAGATAGTGAGTTCTTTTGAAATACTAGCACACTGGAGTGTTAATGCAACCTCTGCTTCCAATACTTAGAGGCAGTGAAGTCATTAATATTTTCTTGTGAATGTAAATTAGCTATTGATTTCTTCTAGGAATTAATTGAACATGATCAAACTCTGAAACAAGTGTGGCAGTGTGGTCATACACCTGCTGCTTACTGTTGCAGTGTTGCCCTTTCAGCTAGGAAATGATGCAGCACCCTAGGGAAAGGGATTTTAAATCATGCTATCGACAATTAATTCTGTACTGGTGTCTCACATGGCCTTATTGCTCTTAATGTTGAGGTGAAAGCTCCTTAGGTGGAATATTCTTTGTTTTATAATTTGCCTTGCAAATGGTATCTCTCTGCAAGCTTGATTTTATTTTATTTTATTTTATTTATTTATTGAGCTAGGAGCAGTGTAAAAGAACTGGATTTGTTGATAATATAGGACTTAGTCACCTGCTAAGCCTGGCCCAGGCTTTCAAAAAACTCCAGACAAATATGTGAAGCTCTCTTCCATCTACAGAATATAACACCAGTGGGTTTTTTCCTACCAAATGAAAGTGTTGGTTGTGCTCCTGATAACACGCTTAACGTTCTGCTGAGTTGAAAATTCGTTGGGGTTGGAGAAAATGTTCTCCATAGTCTCAAACTATGTAGGTATGTTGAAGGGTTGGAAGTGGTAAGCAAGAAAATGGCATGATGTGCCATCATTACACCTTCCTGTTCAGACAGTCATT